TGTAGGAAAAGGGACAGTTTTGGGGAACTCAAGCTTCTCTCTAGAAGCCGAGCTAGAAAAATAGAGAATACTTTCAAAGAATGAGACATCAACATTCACATAGATTTTATTTTTGGTCGAATCTTTACACTGATACCCCCTTTTGAGTTTCGGAATATTCAAGGAAGATATATTTTATGAATATAGAATCAAGTTTATTCTTTATAGGGGCAGTGTTCCGAACAAAAGCAGTGCACCCAAAAACCTTGAGATCTAATATGGAGAACACCAGATTGGTAGGGAAGTATGACATCAGGACAACTAAGGGAGTTCATGACTTGTGAATTTTGGAGGGGACTCTATTTATGAGATAGGTGGCACTTAGAATAACAACGTTCCAAAAAAGTTTCGAGACATTAGATTGAAACATAATAGAGTGAGCAATGTCAAGAAGGTGACAGTTTTCCCTCATAACTACCCCATTTTGTTGAGAAGTGTCCGTGCAAGAATTATGGTGGAGAATGTCTTTACTAACAAAAAATTCACTCAAAATAGAGTTGAAATACTCACGACATTGTCGATCTGAAGGACCTAAATGAGAGTTTTGAATTGAGTTAAGACAAATATGTAGAAGTTTTGGAATGTTACAATGACTTCCAATTGTTTTTTAAAATGTAGACCCAAGTCATTCACGTGTGGTCATCAATTAAGGTTAAGAACCATCGTTTATTGGTATAGTTGAGAGTGCAAGAATGATCCTATATGTCACTTTCAATGAGGGAAAAAGGAGCAGAAGGTGTGTGAGTGTGAGGTGGGTAATGGACCCGATGATTTTTGGCTAACTGACATGTCTCATAATTGAAATTTGAGAGATTTTTATTAGAAAATATCAAAGGAGACAACTTCTTCAAATATTGAAAACTAAGACGTCTTAAACGATAATGTAATAATGTAATGTAGCATTCAATGACTCGAGATAAGCTACAACTTTTGAGTATTTTTTTTCACTCTTTGTGTTCTCCTTTTGGAAGTAGTAGTGCCCGACTGCCCTTTTAGCAGTTTCAATCATTCTCTTCGAATGAAGATCCTCAAAAACACAACCATCAAAAGAGAAATATCAACGCAATCGATATTGTTTGTCAACTTGCTTACAGATAATAAGTTACATTGCAATCAAGGAACATATAAAACTGTCTTTAAAGTTAGATCAGTTGTTAGTATAATCGACTCTTTACCAGCAATGAAACTACATGATCCATCGACAATCTGACGTTATTTTTTCTAGATCATAGATCGTAAGTTGAGAAATTTGTAATTGGGGAACACGTAAAACAGATTCCAAAGTTAGATTGGTCGTTAGTACAACCGATCATTTATCAACAATGAGACTACATGATCCTTCGATAATTTTGACAGTATTTTTTCCAGAGCACGGATTATAAGTCTAGAAAGCTTGCGAGCAGCCAGTCATGTGATATGTGGCACCTGAATCAATAATCCACGGACTAGAGGAGGAATAAATTGTGAGAGCCATAGGAAGAGTACCTTGTCAGATGTGAGAGATCGACGGATCCACAGAGACTTGATTGGCTTCAAGAAGTTTAATCAATTGGTTCGTCTGTTTCTTGAGGGATTTGAATGATTCCGGAATGTACCGAGTTGGAGTCAGTTGAACTGCGCCTGGTTCGATCGTCGCCGTGAGTCCATTGGCAACTGAGGATTTGACCGAAGTTTTGTTTGCTGGCTTACCGTGAAGTTTCTAACATTTGTCCTGAGTGTTGGGTTTGTGACAGTAATCACAAGTGGGGTGACCGGTCCGAGGTGGCATGGATGAGAGCTGTGCACTATTGGAGTTTAGGCGGACGATTTAACTGAAGGAGTAGAAGTGTCGAGTATGACTAATCTTTTGCTTTCTTCGCGACGAATATCAGTAAAAGTAACGCGAGCAGAAGGAAGATAATCCAGACTAAGAATACTGTCTCGAATTTCGTCAAAGTTTTTTTTAAGACCAACAATTTTGTGAGTTTAATCATATGATCATTTTCTATGATCTTCTAGAAAGGGATAAGTCGGTCGGAGAATCCCAAGTGTAGTCGTAGTACAAGTCGCATTCCATCCATAGTCCAACAAAGTCATTATATTACCTATCACGGTTCTTGACCCCCCTGTTTTGCCTCCGAGATCTTCTTAGATATCTCATAGAGTTGGTCGCAGTTGCCCATATAAGATTAGCTATCACGGACAGCCGTCCAAAGGGCACTAGTAGTAGGGAGGAACATGTGTAAACGACCAATTGAGGTCTCCATAGAGTTGATCAACCATGTCATGACTTTGAAGTTCTCCACTTCCCAAGCTCTATAAGTCGAATCCATCTTTGGAGGCTCACGAAGCACACCTGTGAGGTAACCAAACTTCTCACGTCCTTTGATTAACAAAGACACCACTTGAGACCATTGGAGAAAGTTATTGTAGTTGAGTTTATGGGTTGTGATTAAGAAACCTTTGTTGGTTCTGATACTTTGGTCTGCAAGGGATCAGAAATTAGAGTTGATTCTCCAGTGGAATCAAGAACTTTCGAAATTGGTTCAGAGTTGGAGGAATCTGCCATCATTCTGAGTGATCCAAACGAGATGTTGAGATTCCGAGTCATCGCTGAAATCTGGTAGGGTTACGACAGAGGACTGTAGGAAATTTGAAGGACGAAGGAAACTCCGCTGCCAAGGAAGGAACAACGAATGACTGCAGAAAACGACAGAGAAATTGGGGCTATGGAGGGAACAATAGACCAATCAGAAATGCAGAGTAACTTGGATTAGCAGAACCTTGCGGGACCTTACGCTATTGGAACAACGGGATCTTGCGACTCTTAAACCCCGAAAGCTTCCGTAGAAGCACACTCTGCGGGAACCTTGTGGCTACAGTTCTACGGATGGAATGTTGTGACTGCTATAACCAACAAAAGAGGCCTGCTGCTATGAGGTGCTGGCTACGGATGCCGGCAGAGGAGGCCGGTGACTGATGGATCTAAGGTTAGGTTCTGATATCATGTTAAAATTTGTAATAGACCAACTCAATTTTATTGATAGAAGTGGTATTTAAATCCAATTACAATAGACAATAATAATAGAAAGCAATAAAAACATAAATACATAACAAGGAAATAAAATAAAATTGAGTAAAGCAAAAGAGGAAAAATATAATCATGGAATAAAATAAAACAATAAGTATAAACGACATAGCAATAGTAAATGTAGGTTATGAAATGTAGGTATTGAATGTTGGCCATTTAAATTGGTGAAAAATGTATGTTAAATGTAGTAAATGTAGGTATTGAGTGTTGGCTATTATCTTTTGTTTTGAAGGGATGAAAGAATTTTCAATTGCAATAGAATTATATTAAGGATGAACTTTGAGTTTGTAGCATTTTTATTGATTATGAAAATGCTTACAAAGAATTTTTGAAGTTAGGTGTCTTGATATATTCTTTTGCAAATTGAGTGGTTACATTCTTTAAATGTTTGTTGAACTAAATTTAAAGTTAGGAGAATAAAAAAAATTATTTAGAAAATAAATACCCTTTGAAATAGTAAAATGTAGATTGTCTTTGATATACAATTTTATTGATATAATTTTAACAATAATAATAAGATATTATTAGAAGATAAAATGGTGCATAAATTTGGTATGTTCAATTATATTTAATCTATTAAATAAAAAATAAGAACCGATATAGACTTGATTTTAATAATTAAGATTTGGCGGTTAAATTGAAAATTTATTTTAGGAGTGCTATGACAATATTATAGGAACTTGAAAGTACATTGTAGAAAATCACAATTTTGTTGGTTAAATGTTGTTTATTCTAGCGTAGGCTTATAATGAAGTTGTTGGCATCTAAGCCGAACAACATTAGTATATTAAGATGGATATTTGACAAAGCTAGGAAACAGAATTTGAGGAATAATTGTCATTAAAGTTATGATTAGAGTAGTAATATAGTTGAAAATAGAATCATGTGATCGTTAAGGTAGTTGTAAAATTGTAAGGTGATCTGAAGAGAGTTTCATCTCAATATATAGTAGTTATGTATATATATTTTAGGAGTATAAAGAAAACAACTAGTTTTGCTCTTCTTTGAAGCAATAGACTGGTTTTTGAATTAATGCTTGGAGCCCCCTAAGACAGACACATAAAGAACTTGACTACCAACCACTTACTTGTGGGGAAAGTTGCTGTATTGATGATGAACTAGGTGACAAATATGCTTCTAAATATACAAGAATCTCATATGTTTGCAATTTGGTGCAGCTGGCTGGCGAGGAAGCTCCATAAGCTAGGCATGTTATATTTGTGTTATGTTGTGAGAGTGTATTCCTCCGACCCCAATTAGTTGGAATAAACTGATGCGTTGATGATGATATTTGTATGTCTGAAATTAGTAAATTTCCTCCTAAAAATTCTGTCACCATGAGGATGAATTGATTTGTTGGCGGTTTCTCATGTTCGTATAAATGCTTCAGTCCTTTTTTAATGTCATCTTCTTACATAACATTTTTATGCCAATGAAATCTTATTTAAGATGATTAGTCTATTGGTATGTTGTTTTGACATTAGACGACACTATAAGCAATAAGAAACTGCATGGTTAGAACTTAAATGATCCATGTAGTTTGCTTTCTTAGTTTGAATGCTATTACTTATTTTGGTTTTAGTGTTCTTACGATAGAGACCTAAATGAGATGACGGAATTATCACATAGGGTTCAATCGAACTTTCGCGACTATTGAACTTGTAATGTCATTCAAAAATGAAGAGCATTTCTAGGGCTAAGAGAATTTTGGGCCAGAAGAACTAACTGTAATCTCCGAGTAACATTTAAATGCTAATGATGCCGAATAATGTTCATTTTATTCCATGGCACAAATGAAACTACTCCGTGTATTCTGTTCTTATACTCTCAAATGAATCCATTGAAAAAATCTAGTGTGAGTAGGAATTATTTTTGCCGTTTCCACCTGCAGATGAAAAGGGCAAATTTGATGAGGTCGTTGAAGATAGGGGCGTCAGAATATTGATTGATCCTAAAGCCCTGATGCATGTCATTGGAACCAAGATGGATTTTTTGGATGATAAGTTGAAGTAGGTTTACATCTTTGTTGGGTAAAGGATTCATCTTTTCGTTATCTGACCAGATAGTTTTTGCATGCAGGTCTGAATTTGTCTTCATAAATCCAAACTCGAAAGGACAGTGTGGTTGTGGTGAATCCTTTATGACAAATAGTTCTAATAATACAAAATCCGGTAGTTCGTAGATTTATCTTGGATCATGCAATTAATTTCTTCTCAGCTCATCTTCTGCAGCCGTCATCTAACATTTGAGAATTCTCCAAAATGCGACGTGATTATAAATAAGAAAAAAAGAAAACTTTTTGTGGCAGGTAATAAAAGTGCTGTTACTAAACGTTTTCCTTAATTTTTCTTCAGTTAGCCATAGCAACATATCATGTAACTGCATATTTTTCACTCGTTATTTCAAGAGCTGTAGAATATTCTGGAAAAATTATGTGAATTATTGTCATTAAGTTGAAGAACTTACATGTTTTAATGCTTATTTCTTTTAGTTGATCTTATTTCTTATGGGTTTTTTTGGTCGGCAGCATTAGGAGTGCATTGCATTCTTAGTATAGGGATTTTAGAAAACGGTCATCGTTTGACCAATTGTAGTGCGACGATTAATCCATCATCCAATAAAGGAAAGATAAGACTATCACATGAAGGTAGTCTCTCCCTTATGATAACGACATGAGGGAGAGACTACCACATGAAGGTTTTATAGGGATTTTGGATAGATTACCATAAAAAGGTTTTACATGGAAGGCATAAGAAAAGAATACCACGCGAAGTTTCTGCATGAAATACATAAGACTATCACATGAGGTTTTTCATAACAAATATAAGTCTATCACATGAAGATTTTACGTGACACATAAGCACAAACAACATAATTCTTGTAATGCATGAAAGATAAATCTAAGCCGCATTAAAATTCTCTTCATTTTCTTTTTTTTTTTGCTTTTAGAAGTAAGGTAGGGTTTTTCGGGTATGCTAGAGAAAGGGAAATTGAGAGGGGCTTAGGCGGGGTTTCGGGTAGGCTAGAGTGGGAGAGTGTGAGGAACTTGGGTGAGGTGTAGGGTAGGCTAGGAAGGGAGAGAAATGGGTGTGGTTTAGGTGAGGTTTCCGCTATGATACGTAGGGAGGGAGGGTGGGGAATTTAGGTGAGCTTTCGGTTAGGCTAGGAAGGGAGAGAAGGTGAGGAATGTCGGTGATGTTTAGGGGAGGTTGGTAAGGAAGATAATGTGTGGGATTTTGGGTTGTATTCGGGTGGTGGAGGGAAGAGAGAAGCGAGTGAGGGAATAAATAGGGTTTGGGTGTGGTGAAGGCAAGGAGAAGCGAGTGAGGGAATTAGGCATGGTTTCGCATTTGGCGAAGGCAAGGAGAAGTGAGTGGGGAACTAGGTAGGGTTTTAGTGATGGTGAAGGAAGAGAAAGTGAATGGGGAATTAGGCAGGGTTTCAGGTATATGGTGAAAGAATAGAAAGGGAGAGGATGAGAAATTGGGTGATGTTTCGACTAGGGTAGGAAGAAGATGAAGAATTAGGAAGTTTACTGGTTCGACCATGGTAGAAGGAAATAGGGAAAAAAATGAGAAATAATGAATTTTGCATCATGACCCTACAAAATGACTTCATACTAATTGAAATAAGAGGGGTGAGATTATACCTTGGCTTGGTTGGGATGAATCAGCTTCTTTTCTTGGATGATGGATTACCCTTGGTTTTGATGAGAGTCTCGGCGATCATTTGATCAATTGTGGTGTCACGTTGTTTGCAGATAATTATCATCTAAACAATTGTGGCGCTACGAACTAAGATTGCGAAAAGATGATGCTATGATCTTATAACTGAGTAGCTATTGACATTATAGCTCATTAGAAAATAGAAAACGAAATAGGATAGAACGAATATTACGGATATGAGCTGGATTTTAGAGTTCTCAGGTGCATCCAAGAATAAATTCAAGAACAGGACAAATTATTTCTTCGAGCCTTCGGTTGAACAACACTTTCCTTCCAAGTACCCATCAACTTATAAAGAAAGATTTACATATATACATCATATAATTCATATGTATTTACGTATCTCACATATTTATATTAATTTTTTTTTTATGCATGAAATGATATATTTCACTGTTAAGCTTTTAATAATAATGACATTTTTATGTGAAATTACAAATTGAATATTATATATGTAAATATTAAAGTTTAAATGTTAGATATGTAAAAATATAAAAGTTGGATCTTTATTTTCTGATTTATTATACTTAAATTCAGTGATAAAACGCCAACCTTATAACCAGGGAACCTATATTAAATCTGCAGTGGCTAAACCCTCGGTTAGGCTTTGAGATGTTTCGAATCCTGCCATAAAAATGCTACTTCAAAGATGGACATCAGAAAATAAATGTCAGGATTTATGGCTTTTGAAGGGGCAGATAATCATTGAGTATTAGCAGAAAAAAACGATAGCTGAACATCTTTTGAAATGCCAAGTTGGCTTCTTAAAACTTATCATTATTCTTAATGCTTTTTTTTTATTTTTTTTGGTTTTGATTTAGGTTATACAATGCAAAAAAATTAACAGGGGTAAGAAAAATGTCTTTTCTAATTATACTTTCAACAATTTTTTTCTTGGACAAGGAAAGCAGCTAAGATTTTCATTAAACAACAACAAGAACAACAGAACCTTTATCCCACTAAGTGGGGTCAGCTACATGAATCATTTTTCATCATTGCGTCCTATTTAGTGTCATTTTTTTCATTTAATTCTAATAAAATAAGATCATTTTCTATAAAATATGCCCCAAGTTTTCATAAGGTCATTTTCTATAAAATATGCTCCAAGTTTTCTTAAATCTACCCCTGCCTTTCTTAACATATGTCGAATCTAAAATATCTACTATCCCAATCGGATCATCAGGCGATCGTCATTTAATGTGACCAAATCATGACGACCCTCTCTAGTTTGGTCTGTCACTGGAGCTTCACCAACCCTATCACAGATATATTCATTTTGCATTTTGTCTCAAAGTGTAAAGCCACCCATCCACCTAAGTTATTCTCATCTCGGCAACACTTAACTTAGTTTTATGCTTCTCTTTCAAGGCCAACATTCAACGCCATAGAGCATTGCAGGTCTCACCACCATCCTATAAAATTTTCCTTTCAGTCTAAGCGGTACTTTTCAATCACACAATGGGCCCGAAGCATTTCTCCGCTTCAACTGACCAACTTGAATTCTACTAATAACATCCCCATCAATATCACCATCACTTCTCATCTCGGCAACACTTAACTTAGTTTTATGCTTCTCTTTCAAGGCCAACATTCAATGCCATAGAGCACTGCAGGTCTCACCACCATCCTATAAAATTTTCCTTTCAGTGTAAACATTACTTTCCAATCACACAATATACACGATAAATTCCTCCACTTCAACGAACCCACTTGAATCATGCCAACTTGAATTCTACTAATAACATCCCCATCAATATCACCATCACTTTCAACAATAGACCCGAGATATCTAAAGCGTTCACACATTTTAATAATATGATCACCCATAGTTACATTTCTATCACTAGAGCTACTGCTACTAAAATTACATCCCATGTATAGGAAGGCCTTTAGACTCTAAGGTAGACGTACATAATTCAAGTTTTTCCTAAGCTTTTTCTCTTGTCTTATCCATGAGAAAGATATCATCAGCAAAAAGCATACACCAAGGTACATCCTCCTGTAAGTGTCCAATAAGACCATCCGTAACTGAACCAAAAAGATATGGGCTTAAAGTCGATCCCTGATGTAATCCTACAGAAATAGGAAAATATTTGGTCAATCCTCCTTCTGTTTCAAACACAGTGAACAACTCTAGTATACATACCTTAAAACCTATATTTTCAATAATGCGCTACAATCTTCCCTGGAGAGCCTATACTAGCTTTTCTATCATGATTTTCAATAATGCACTACAATCTTCTTCCCTGGAGAGCCTATACTAGCTTTTCTATCATAAGGGTGGATCAAGTGCAATTAGCTCTCTGTAATGCAGAGTCTGGGAAGCGGTTTTAATGCTGGTTTATACTTTTATTTGCACACACTATTCCTAGGACTTAAATCTAGGACCCCTAGATATACAATTACCAAAACTTCAATCTAGGACTTCAAAAATACATTAGAGGCAACTTAACCACCACTTTAAGCACACCCTCTTTAAACCAGAGATTTTAAAAATTCTCCAATGTGAACAAACTAAAGCTGATTGAAAATCTGAAAACACATGATTGTGATAAATTAATGAAGCAAGATGTTGAAATAACCTAGAAAATGCAGCATGAGCAAAGAAAAAGCATCAACCACTGTGATACACACAATCAGGAAGCTATAGAATTTGCATTAGAGATATAATGGATTTGGTTTTATAAAAGATTATAAAAAAGAACTTTATAACTATTTTTGACATTTTTAATTACATTTTAGCAGTAATGATAGAATTTGTTCATGCATGGGCATATAAATTCACTTTATCTGTGATGACCATGGAAATTGCAAAAGGAAATGGGAAGAGTCGATTAAAAGCATTGATTAAAAAAAAAGTGCACTAGCTTTACACTTGATTCAAACACCTGAACATCTTTCGTACATATGGACTTTTATTTAATTAGAGAAATACAAACAAATAACCTAACTAGCATAATTATATCTTTCTGGTTTGACACTGACAATTATTATATTTGGAAAAGAAAAGAAATTGATGTATTTTAAGTGAAGCCAAAATACTTCTTAGAGAACCTATAGAAGCTAACTGAAAAGTACGGAATTTATGCTTGTGAGACATGCACACAAGCTGGATATCTTAAACTATTTTAAAGTTCAGTGTAAACATGAAAAGAGAACTGGCTTTGCATCTAATGCATAGAATGAAGAATATCCAAAGTTGCCTTAGAAACAGGCCCATATTAGCTTCAACAAGATAAATCCACACTCTGGTTGAAATTGTGCTTCCTAATACAAGATTGACTGTTATAGCACACAAGATAATATGCATTACAAAACACTGATATATTTTTGTGATGTTAGAATGTGTTGGACTATATACAAAATTTTGTGAAATTGAATGACTTTTGAAACTGAAGTCATGGAGAATAGCTTAAAATTATAAACACCTTCAACATTGTCATTTGCATAATGTAAAAAAAAGCGACCGCACCTACCAAAATAACCTAGTATCAGCAGCTAAGGGTTGCTACATAAGGTAATAAGCTGTGAAGTTATATGCAAACAAAGTGATGAACCACTAATTCATGTGCTAAAGAGGGAAGCAGGCATCCATGGATTGATCTTTAGCAGCCACAGTTAAACGGTTACAAGGGTCCACATCTAATATGAAAGAAAACTTTGTGTCAAGAAAATGTAAGGCAGCATAATGTCAAGAAATCTTTGTGTTATTGT